GGTTGACAGTCCCAGGGAGAGGAAGACGGGGACAGGGCTGTCAGGAGGCTCTGGGCCTTTAGGGCAGGAGGGCAGGCTAGGGATGGGGCTTTGTGAACATGCACTGGTGTGAAGCCTTGCTCGGACTCGCCTGAGAAAGCCCAGGGCACCTCCTCAGATGGTCTCCACCAGCGGAGACAGGCCCCCCTGGAGCCCTGATGCCTGTGGCCTGGCAGGGTGGGCAGGGTGCCCAGCTCCTGCAGCGTGGCTTTTGAGTGACTACTGTATCAGGGACAAAATTTTGATGTTTTAAAATGAGAAATAATGCTGACTGTGCTTTACTCAGTACTAAAAAATTAAAGAGGTTGTAAAACAGAACTGTGTGGATATACTTCTGTGTATGTAATGTATGTGAGTGTATACAAGTATACTGTGTCTATGTGTGTGTGTCTGTATATACTTACATGTATGTGTGTTATATACACATATGTGCATGTGTGTGAATGTATATGTATATATTCCTGTATATATGTATGTATGTATATAATGTATGTGTAGATAAGCAGAGCAAGGCAAAAGTAGGTTTACAGTTGTTCATGTAGAAAATAATAACACAAGAGTAAACTCTGTTTCATGTACTTACAACTATAAACCTATTTTTGCCCTACCCTATACTTCTATATTTCTGAATATAGAAGTATTGAAATATACTTCTATATTTCAAATACATGTGCATATTTCTCTGTGTATATATGTATGTACTACGTGTATGTATATACTTCTGTGTTATTATATAATGTGTGCGTATACTTCTGTGTATGTGCGTGTACATAATGTGTGAGTGTATGTATATACACATATATAAAACACACACACACTGAAAATCCACACATCAGGGCAGAAGAGCATAGAAACTGAAAAGACAAGTCTTTTTTAACCTTGAATCTCCCCCTCCTCAGCAGAGCCGCGCTCTAGTTTCACAGGTGTGCCCTTCCATAAATCAGAATCGGTGCGTTAGAAGAGAAAGCCTGTTCTCGGTGAGGCCGGGCCAGATGCCTGCACTGAGGCAGCCCTCACTGCCCCGACTCAGGGACAGCACCGCCCTTGGGCCTGCCTCCTCCTCATCTGGGACATGGGAATGTAGCACCTGACCCTCCCCTCACCCCCCTCCCAAGGCTACACTGAGTGACAAGCTCAAGGACACTAGGTATTTCCCTGGATCCCACTGGGCTACAAATGTGCCAACAGAGGCATCGCCATCAGACTCCCAGGTGGTCAAAGACCTGGGGCCTGGGGTCTACTAGGAGCCTTAGCCTCCAGGGTATCCAGGGAGGGCGAAGCCTTCTCTGTTCTCCCATAGCACACATGCTGTCCTGGAACTCCTCTACCCCACGTTTCCCTGGGGTTTTTATTCAAGAACACCAGCTTCGGGCCGGGTCACTTCCCATTTATCTTTTATCCCTCCACACCCCTGGCAGAGAGCTGGGGTTGTAGGAGGTGCTGGATGAAGAGTGGCTCCTCATTACAGAGCCTCAGGCACAGAGTAACCAGATCCTAGGGGCTGCGGGGTGGGTGTGGTGGGCAGGGCTGGCAGGGCCCCGGAGTCTGGCAAGTCCAAGGAGCAGGAGGGAAATGCCAGGCCTGGTCTGTGTGCATGGGGGTGGAGGGCACTGAAGCCAGGGGCAAGATGTCAAGACCATGAGTGGCTGGGAGTGTACAGCGTGTGGGAGTCCCTTGCTCCAGAATGGCCATACCTAACTCACGATCCAGGTGGAGACTGAGTGCCTGCTGCTTTAAAAAACAAAACAAAACAAAAACAACTCAGGCATTCTGACAAGGACTCATAGAAAAAGACTGCCTACTTTTGGGTCAATTCCATGCAGGGCCACCAACTGTAGGTCTGGTGGGAGGGAGTGTCCATGGACTCAACCCTCCTGGTAATCCTCCCTGGGGATTAGGCTGGGGGAGGGGTGCGCTCCTCAGCCTCCACCCTCCCAGGACTCAGTTCCAAAAGTGTACAGGAAGCCAGTCTGCTTTCCAGGAAGTAAGCAATCACCGACACTGGTACAGGGAGTTCAGAAATGGGGAAACTTCAGAGCTGGAAGTGGGATGCACTCACATCCACGGGCTCCAGCGGGAAGTACCCAAAAACCCGGGTGATATAAAATCACTTCATGATTTCAGAAGGAACAAATCACCATGTGACTATCCAGTATTATAATTGTTCATGGTTTTCACATCTTATTGTGTTGTTTTCTGTCCAAAGAGATGTTTAAGCTCTTTGCTAAATCTGCAGTTAAATGACAGATGGACTGGTCATTAATCCACAGACTCACAATGGCCCTTCCCCAGCAACAAACGCTAGCAGGCAAATGCAGGTCCCTTACTGGTTTATCTTAAGTAGAATTTAGGTAAGTTTCTGAGCACTCTTGGTGTCTCAGTCATTGCCAAATCCATTTATTTATTGATTTGGAAGGCAGCGTTTCTTTGCTTGGATAAACCAATTCACTCCGCAAACTTTACCCTAAAATTCAGTAGATAACGATATAAAGTTTGGCAGAAAGAGCACTGCTTAGTGAAAAGCAAAATGTGTCTTCAGAGTGGGACCCGGTATGTGGAGAGCAATGGGAAACTGCACACCCACAGCCACACACTGCTGATCTGAGCAGTAGCAATGACTTTGCTACAAATACACAATTATTCTGATAGCAGTCTCCCAAACATTGTGACAAGGTGTACACAAAGTATCTTGCCCTTGCCTGGAGACTAAAACATCCTACCCACCTGTTCTTTTTCTGAACGTCTTCCAGATACTGCCTGACAACATCTCAAACTTGCCTAAGAGCCCATAGACACTGCTCCAAACCTCCACTTTACAACTCTACAACCCCTGGCAGAGGGGAACTGGGGATTTCTTACTGTTCTGATATCCTCCCATTTCACTTGTTTATTTATTCAACAGCTAGCTGAGTCTCTGCAGTGGACCCCATCCACTTGAGCAGTGAGCACACAATTTGGGACAGGACAGCCAGGGGTAGGGGTAGGGGTGGGGGTAGGGGAGTGGGACGGGCTGCAAATGTGACAGGGATATGGAGGTGGGCCTCCAGGAACCTCCAGGGAGAAGGGAACTTTTTCCTGGTGGTGATAATTCACCCAAGTGGGAGAAACAGACGGGCAGGGAGAGAGTAGACAAGGGGAAGAGAGAGAGCCCTGTGGCAGCTGGAGGCAACTATGACAAGCCTGGGGGTGGGGAAGGGCCCAGGAGGGACCTTGGAAACCACCTGAAGGAGTCAGGGTTCGCTGGGTCCCCAGAGCACCTCAGAGGGTTCTAAGCAGTAGAGCAGAGGGAGAAAGAAGGCCCCCCTGAACCACAGGGGTGGTGGGGGGCGGAGTTGGTGGGTGGGGGCCCATTCAGGAGCATAAAGGAAGTGACTGCGCGTCCTAAGCCCCAGCATGCTGGGCATAGCACCTGGTAGGTGCTGACCGTGAGACTACAAGTGAACAAGGTAGGCAGGCAGTGGCTCCAACCATGCAGAGAGATGGAGGACAAGCACCAGGAGCCAGCTGGGGACAACCTTGCCCTTACCTGTCACCAGAAGGGACACCACCCTCTCCAGTCTCTTCTCTCTTTTCAATCTCTGCCCACAGTTTTCTCTGCCACCCATGCCAACCAACCCCACTAAGAAGGCACTTTGAGAAAAAGCAGGAGCCCCAGAAAATGACAGCTTAATAGTGACTTCAAGAACTTCCATTTTAACATCATATCAGGTGAATTACTTTACGTATTAAAAAATTCTCAATGTCCTGCCCAAAAGTTTGTCACTGGTAGAAATATACCGCTCACCAGCTGGACAACCACTTACATCCTAAATCTGCACTTGTTACTGTGTACAGTTTTGGAGTCGAAAGAAAGGCCGTTTTGTGAGCTACCTTACAGAAATGCAACCACCACACACATACAACCAGAGCATGGAGATCCAACACAGCCAGGGAGTCATTCCAGCAGGTCAGACATCACACGAAGAAAAGGAAAAGGCCCTGGCCTGGCAGCTCAGTTGCTTCAATCTCTGCTCAGGGAACATACAAAAATCAACCAGTGAATGTATAAATGGGTGGAATGACAAATCCATTTCTCTCTCTCTCTTTCTCTGTCTCTCTCCCTCTCTCTCTTCCCTTCTCTCTAAAATCAACCAATAAATTTTAAGAAAAAGAAAGAAAGAAAGGAGAGAAAGAGAGAGGAAGGAAGGAAGGAGCAAGGAAAGGAATGGAACAGGACAAGTGTGGAAGCCCCACTGCCTCCTGCAGCCACGCATCCCTCAGCCCGGACCAGATGATCCCAGAAATAAAACCAGATGGAAGCAAATGGCACACTGTTCCCTCCCAGGCTGGAACCGAAGTGGTATACAATTGATTTTGGTTACGGACTAACCCCCAAGGGAGCGCCCCTTGCACACTCCCCAGAAAACAACTTGCAAACAGAAGCGCAAATGTTCCTGCTGTTCATCTTCAGGGGGCCCCACACTGCCCGCATCCCACTGTCTCTAGCACTGGCTCAAGAATCAACTAGGTCCCCACATACGAAGCTCATCAAGTGACAAAAATCACATGTGTGTGTGGGGGGTCCACTCCAACACCCCACGGGGCCTGCACACCGCAGGAGTGGACAAGCAGCCCAGCGACCCGAGGTGCGTGGACAGAGCTGGGAGTGCAGGGATCTGGGGAAGGATGCGGGGCTGGATTCGGGGTGCAGGGGGCCGGGGAAGGGAGATGAGGAGCCAGGTTCAGGGCACGGACGGCGGGAAAATAGGTGAGGGGACCTAGGATGGAGTGAGGACGGCGGGGACTGGGGATGCAGAATGAGGGCCGCAGGGCAGTAGCGGTCGCGGGCCGCGGGCGCCGGAGGGGCAGCAGCCGGGCTGGGCCTCGCCGGAGGACCCCTCGCCGAACGCCTCCGGGCCGCGCATCCCCGCCCCTCAGCGCGGCCCAGGCACTGGACGCGCGGGGCAGCGGCGGGAACCCACCTGGGCCTTCCGCAGGGCGCTGAGGCGCAGCTCGTGCACGAAGGGGTTCCGCCCCGGGGGCGCCAGTCGCCGCGCGTCGACGGCCCCCGCGCTGGAGGCGGGGGCATCCCGGGGACCGCGTCGCCGCAGTCTCATGGCCGCGCCGCCCTCCGTCAGGGGAACCGGGGAGCCGGGCGCGCCAGGCGCGGAGCGGGACGCGGAGCTGAGCACGGAACGGAGCGCAGAGACGGGCACGGAAGGATGCACGGCGGCTGGAACGGGCTGGGTATACGGTCGCGCAGGCGCGGAGGGGCAGTGGCGTGACGTGGGCGGGGGCGCCGGTGAGGAGGGGCCGGAGGGGGGCCGGGGCGGAGCTTTATCTCACACCCCGCCTACCGCGGGCCGGGAGAGTCGGCCCCCGACCGGCCCGTCTCTCTGCAACCCCGGTTAGCTTTTGCGGGGCCCGGAATCAGCAGCGGGTTCTGAGGAGCTCCCAGGTTTTGGATGGAGCGCCTCTCGTCTGGCCGGACCACAGAGACCCACCGGCCGGCCCGGTTCTGGGAGGAGAGGAGGTCCGGTTCCCAGTTCGGTGAGGCTCGCTACGTCGCCCCCTTCCGCCGCTCAGCGCGAGGCCGGGGGCGCGGTCCGAGGTTCCAGCACTGACCCACCTGGGGACAGGGTCAGGGGCTGACCTGTGTCCCGCACGTGAGCTCCCCCGCCCCCACTCTCGGTCTGGGTGCGAGGCTGCCCCACCAGCCCAAACCTTGAGAACCAGGAGGAGCAGAGCCTGGCTAGGCCGCACGTGTGAGAGGCCACTGCATACCAGGTTCCATTAGGACCGCTCCCCAGAATCAGCTCCAGCCGCTTTTCTTTCCTCTACTTTGTCCTCACTCAGACAGTTACTGGAAGGCGGTTTTGGGGAAGGAGGCTGCATTCTTCTCTGTCTGTGCCAGCTCTGGCAGTTAGGGTAGGCCTCATCCCAGGCATGCGGGATCCACTCAACCCACGGGGCCCACCCCGATGGTGGGAACAGACAGAGAGTCCACAGAGGGGGGGACCAGTGCTTTGAATCAAATGATTCTTATTCTCTAATTACTCTAGTTCATGGAATTACTCTCCGGGTGAAGGGGTGTTTATTTGGGGATCCCTAAATTATGGCACAGTATTAACAAGGGCAAAATGAAATAACTCCACGTTCAAAATATGTAAATTTCAAAAATAAAAAATAAATATAAAAAATAAAAAAATTCACCTCAAACCTTTTGTAGTGAGAACAGCTAACTTTCTTGGTATGCCTCTCCTTGTGGCCCGACAGTCAGGAGACCCAGGAGCAGGCGTCAGTTGAGGGGTGAGGGAGGTTGACTGGGACTCGGTCCAGCAGCCCCTGTGTTCACACATGGGCCCCTGGCATCATGGGAAGGAGCCCCAGCTCTTCCTGCATTGTCCTAGGGCTGCAGGAGGGCCAGGCCTCGCTGGGGCTTCTGTTATCTGTAAGGCCTCCCAGCCTCATCCCTTCCTGGGCAGTGGGTCAGGAAGTGACTCAGCCCTCTGACAACCCAAATGAGACCCTTGCCTCTAACACAGTGAAGTATCACCATGCTGGACCCTTTCTGGGTTTTGATGGAGGGAGAGAATTGGGACCAAAGGAGAGGCCACTGGTTCCCTCTGGCATCCCACACAGTGAAGCTAACAAGAAAGGGAAGAACGGGGCTGGGTCCAACACCACTTTTGAGCCCTTACCCTTGACCTGGGCAAGTGAGCTGTCCCGGAGCCTCAGTTGGCACACCTGTGAAAAACAGCCAGTGGCAGTGTTGCCTTCCATTCTGTGCTGTGATGACATAAGGCCTTGGGGACAGTGGTGGACATTATTTGCTGGTGGACACCGGCAGACACTGTTTCCCTTGCCTCTGTAGCCATCAGCACTCTGCTGATCTCCAAGGATTGGGCTGTTGATTGCTCTGATCTCAGCTACAGGAGCCCAGCTGGGAAGGCTGGTGGGACAGTGTGAGAGGCTGTCAGAGTGAGGAGGAAGAGGGAGAGGAGAGATCAAAAGGGAGGGTGCCCCACTCATTCACACCGAAAGAGCCACGGTGGATCCCCGGAGGCCAACAAGGGCCAAAGGCCATCAGGAGAGCAGGGTGGAGACGTGGAGGGCTCAGAAGGGTGAGTACATGAGTTGCCCCACTCAGGAGGACTGGCCAGGATAGAACTTAAGTGCTGTCCAGTTGTAGTAGACAGTAGTGGAGATCACCCTGCCGTGAGCCACAGGGTGGACAGGGAGTGAGAATTCCAGGACTCTTTCTGGAAAGCTGCTGGATGGAGGAGGAAGGAGGGAACGGGGAGGAATGCCGATAGACATGCAGGGAGTGGGGAGCAGATCCAGGATGGTTGCTTTAGGGAGTGTTACTCCTTGGGCCTGTTCCTAGGTGAAGGCAAGCAGCAGGCCCCGAAGGCACAGTTGAAAACCCACGAACTACCCTACCTCAGTCCAGGGAAGAGGATCCAGGGTCTGGGGAAGGATTGGGTTGGGACCAAAGGTTGGGAACCCTCCCTGCTACAGTTGGAAAGGACAGGTGGCTAACCGGGTGGATTAACCACTTCGGACAAAGGTCCTTTGTGTGTAAAGAAGTCAATTATTTCTTGGAGGCAGAGAGTGACAGGTGGGGGCTGGCTTGGAGGGTGGTCACCTGGAACGATTCACTCTTAGGCTTCAATTTTAATACTGTGATGGAATGTTCTGGAAGTTCTGGAGGGTTCTGGAAGCTTGATTAGGAAAAGTTGGTCTTGGAGAAGCAGTTTCTTTCAGAAGAGGGTGATAGACTTCAGTTTATCTCTGGGACTTAGTTTCTCAGTTTTGGAAAAAGCACCAGATGGGCCCTTTAGCTACTAGGGCAAGGTCCCCATGGTTCTCCAGGAACCTCTGAAATGCGCACCCAGGGAGCACAGGAGCTGCTGGCCATGCTCGGTCCCTGTGGCTCTCTACTCTTCTTCTCTTTTAAGCAGGTAGATTGAGAGGGAACTGTTTCTCATCCTCCAGATGAACTGAGGACACAGTGCCTGCTGGGGATTTGTGGTGTGTTTATTATTATTATTATTTTAATTTAGAGTCACAGGAAAAGAAGACATGTTCTCCTTCATTTTTCTTCTAATATGTATTTTTAGTTCCACCTTTCATGGTTATTTTTAATCTGCCTAAAGATTTTTTTTTCTCCACCCAATATTCTCATCACGATTTATCAGTTTCCCACTTGGTTCCACTTTGGACGTGAACAGAAGTATTTAGGAAGCCATTTCTCGGTGCTGTTTTTTATTCCATGAGTTTGTTCCTACGCTGGCACTGTACTGTTTTCACTTCTGTACCTTGGGACGCTGTGCCTTAGTAACCAGTAGGGCCCATTCCTGTTGGCACTTCTTTTCAAGATTTGTCTGTGATTCATAGAACTTTTTATCCATCCAAGTTATAGAATCAGTTTGTCCAGTTGCTGAAATTTTTTTACTGGAAGTTTTGTTTCGCATTGCATTAAATAGGTAGATTGCTTTAGTAAGAACGTGTTGAAGAGTACCTGGAGTTTGGTTTAATTAGGTGCGGTAAGACAACAGACAGGGGATGACTATTATCAAGGAAGACGTTTCACTCACAGCTCCCTAGAAACGGGAGGCACACAGGGACCTAGGGCCACAGGGGAAGAACCAGGGTCAGTCAGGGGGGCAGAGAGAGCCCAGGGAAAACTGGGCAAAATCCTTCATTGTGGCTTCCACAGGAGGGAACAGGCCATGAAGGGTAAACAGGTTTAGTACTGGCAAATTTCAGTAATTTCAGTGGGCTAAGGGGTAGGGGCTGCCCCTGACTGTCTGGTATCTGCCCTGAGGTGCTTAGGGCAGAGGACAGTGGCCTTAAGTGTGAGTGCCCGATAGAGGAGAGGATGGGGGCGAGGGGTCTGGATTGGTTGGTTTGTACTTGAAAGGTGTGCCCCCTGGGAGAGGCAGTCAGTCCAGCGCCAGCAAGACCCCCATATGTCAAAGCATTAAAAATACAGAAAATAAAAAAAATCGTATTTCATACGAATATATGATACTTTGCGATTTTAAGCATTATTTTTCACCAACATGGCTATTTTTTTCATTTATTTAAATCTTCCTTTAAGTTCTTTCAGAACATTTAAAGTTTTTCTACATAAAGATTCCACATTTTTATTAGATTAATTCCTGGATATATTATAATTTTGCAATGGTAAGATAAAGGAGTTTTACTGTTTTTATTAATTTTTCTAATTGCTCATGGCTCATATGGAGGAATGTTGATCTTGTTGATGTCATGTAAAGACAGACCATGGGGGACCAGAGGCGAGGGTGGACATCCCTGACCCAGGTAGCTGTCTCTGCCCCAGATGGATGCAGCCCCGGGTAGCTGCAGACCCAGGTGGATGCAGCTGCATGAGGGACCCCAGCACCTGCAATGGACAAACCTCTCAGGAAACCCACAGAATCATGAGGAACAATAAATCCTGTGCTTTTCAGTAGCTCAATTTGGCATGTTTTGTTAAACATCAATAGCATGTCCCAAAGGGCAGGTGTTTTAGATATTGATGAAACCCAACTTATCAATATTTTCCTTTTTATGGGTCATGCTTTTGATATCCTGTTTTAGAAGGACTTACCTACACCAAGGTAGTTAGTATTTTTTTAATAAGTAAAATGTTTTAGAAAAACTTTTAAAAAGGTTTTCTTATTTCAGAAATTTTATAGTTTTAGCTTTAATATTAAGGTCTGTATTCCATTTTGAGTTAGTATTTGTGTATGGCATGGGTTGATGGTAGGAGCAGAGAGTAACATTATTTTTTTTTTTTTTGGCTGGATATCCCACTGCATTTATTGAAGTAAATATCGTGCCCCATAGAATTACCTTGGCAACTCTGTCAAAAATAAAGTGATCATGTCTTTGTGTGTCTATTTCTGGACTTTGTATTGTGTTCCATTTACCTGTCATTGACAGCTTATGCAATATCACATTGTCTCCATCACTGAAGCTTTATGTTAAGTCTGAAATGAGATAATGTAAGTCCTCCAACTTTGTTCCTCTTTGTCAAAATTGTTTTGTCTCTTCTAGATCCTTTAATTTTCCATATACACTTTTGAATCAATTTGTTAATATCCCCAAAACCCTCTG